GACAGATCTATTGTAGCTGCAGGTCTAAACAGGCTTTCAAAGGCTTGTGGAGCATGTCAGAGACAGTTTAACTAACAATATATGAAAAGATCCGTTTTCTGTAACAATACAGGATTAGGGGTTTTGACATGTTACTGGAAATCAGAGTGCTTTCTTTTCTGAAGAGGACGGGTTTGCCCCTTGTGAATGCAGAGAGGCGGCTTGCTACGGGGGTACCACAGGCTCCTGGCAGGTGCTGGCATTCTGTCCTTGCTCTTAGTGGGAGCCCTTGGAGAGAAAGCGGACCCCCAGAAACACCAGGCACCTTGCACGTGCAGCTGGTGACAGGGCAGAAGAGTCAAGAGTCAAAAGTTTCCTTCACTCCGGCATGACTGCAGATACCTTCTTGTGCCCAACAACCTCCTTTATCAACTCCGTGTTTCTTTTTAAAGCCATACGGACTTTCTTTGCTTATTCTTCTTGGTAGCAACTATCAGTCCTATTCTTTTAATAGTGTGTGCGGTAGTTGTCCTCAGTTACCGCCTCCTGGTTTCTTTTTACAGGAACACAAAGCCCCATTTGTTGCACCGTCACTTGAAAAGTAACACTTTTGAGACTGAACCATGAACAGTTATAAAGTAGGTGGTGACTGTATCAGTATCTACTTTCCAGGTTATGACCTATTTATTTCTACCTGCCTGGAAGTAGCTTTACATTATGTCTCATTAACTTAAACTGAACACTGAATCTTTGTAAATATTCTTCATGTGTTTTCACTATTTTATGAATAATTAGCTCATACCTACTTTACAGAAAGATCTGGGCCACAACCATCAAAATCAGTGTTTATAAGGAAATAACTGAGACAATGAAGCGTTCAAAAGGTGTATCATGGAAGGAACGGCTAAGCTTTTCATTTAGAGAAAGTAATAATTTGTCAGAAGTTTAAATTAAGTTTTAGTTATTTAAGTATTTAGATAACCAAAACTAAAACATGAAAGTCTGAGACGTTTCGTGGTTTCGCTTCTGTACCCACATAATGAGTATAATGAATACACTTAGATTAATAATTTGATACATAATTTACAAGTTAAGAAATGAAAATACACACTCCCTCCCACTTCATGCTGCTTCTGCCGTTTGACTAGCCCCAATTTTTCTTATAAAGATTAACCTATAAATATCTGGCTCCCTTTCACTGTAATACGCTGTAATTCTTTCATCGCCTAGCTCACACAGGCTAGTACCTCCCTATAAAAGATTGGGGAAAATCAAAGTGAAAGCCACATGAATTCTTTGGCGCTGACAGGGCTTCCAAAACCAGGAGAGAGGCAACTTAGCAAAAGACAACAGCTCCATTTCACACATATTCAGGAAGACTTTTTCACAGATTCTTTGATACCTAAGCAGACAACCCCATTCAAAGAACTATACTTCTAGTGTATTTAAAAATTGCTCATATATTTAGCAGCTTTGCAGTATGACATCTGCAAACACAACAGAAGACAGGATGCAAGTAAGTTTTAAGCATACTTTATTAATGTCAAGCAATTGCCACTTGCCAGCATCCTCCACCCGAGTTACAATTTTACACATACTGCAGAAGATCTCCAGTAGTATCACAGACTGGTCTGCCTTCTGTGTACGGGTCAATATACACATAGAGGTTCTTCAGAGGTTTAATGCCACTTACCCTATGTATGGAGATAAAGTATCATTAAAACGGTTTTAAAAGAATCACTATATTCTATCAAAAACTCTTAAACAGTTTTTAATTTTTAAATTATAGTAGTATACACCAAGGTAATAAACACATTCTAACTGCATAGGGCTGGTATCTTAGTTTGCCAAGCATTCAGAAAAAACAAGTATGTTAAACGTGAAGCTCCTTGTCACCATGAGGGAGAAGGAAACAGAAATTAGCACAGCAGATTTAACCAAACTTTCTATATGTAGGACCTCAGGTGAAAACACAAATTACATCTTCATGTACAGGAGGAAAAGATAAATTATCCTTCCTCTTAGATCAGCTGAGAAATAGTTCAACACGAAAACTCTGTGGCACAGCTGTTCTGTTTGCACCACGCTGAACCACTGGAATTCAGCTGACTGCAGTGCCACTAGCAGCTACTCTCCTCTCCTCAGGGACCACAGGCTACTGGGGCAGGTATTGCCTAGAACAGGAAAGGCTCCCTAACTGTCAAAAAGTCCTCAATTCCAGAGGCTTTTGAAGCCAGAATTAAAGATTTTCTATTGTTACCAACAAAAAGTATCAGCTGAAGCTGATACTGAATGGAGGACTGGCATTGACTTGTTTGGAATAACCCATCAGCTAGTCTCTGTATCAACAATAAAGTCTGACAGAATTAAAATAAATAATGAACCTGCGGAAGTTAAAGAAAAAAGTGGATCATCTGCTTAAATATTTACTAGTTAAAACACATGTATTTTAACCAAATATAATGGCAGATTTTTTCCTAAATTTCATAGGTTTCGTACTGATCATTCTATCATTGTAAGAAAGCTGCATTTGAACAGTAATGCTTATTTACCTACATTTAATCACAATAAAAAAATCTCTTCAACCAGAAGTGAAACAAACACATTATGTAACAAATTCTAATACAGTAAGTATGTTTCAGGAATTATCAGTACTGCAGCAGTGTTAATCAATTCTAAATTGGAATGCTGGAAACCAAAAGATTAAGACAGAACTACACGAAGAGTATTTTTCATATCTTTTATAGGACAGAAACCTTTGTTCAAGTCTTCTGGTAGCCATCATCTTCTTTTGAGCTGCACCTACAACACAAAGAACAAGTAAACGAGCAACTTTATGCTTCTCCAGAATAGCTTAAAACAGTTCTGTAGGCATTAAGGGGCATCTTTTCTACTGCTTTGTTTCTGTATCACCAACTCATTTCATTGTTTTATATTACCATTTTAAGAATAAAGTACAAAGCAACAGAAAGAATAAGCTATTACTACATCTGTGTAAAATTGCCCTCAGAGTGCTGCCTATATTGTAAAAGTGCAAATTACTTTCTGTACTTAACTAGCAAGCAACTAGTACTTCATTAAACGTGAAAGCTTATTTTTTTTAATTTCCTGTATGGACAAGATACCTTAATATGTGAAAATAAGGAGAGATTATTTTTTATTAAGAATTTTACGATATAAATTGAGAAGAGACAGGTTGAAGGTTCCAAATAGGCATACAAAACCACCCATCTCCTGCTTGTTTTCGTAGTTAGTTCATTACATCTCCTCGGTGGGGTATTCCCCACCAGCAGAATGACTGCTTTGTGTCATTTTTCCATTCTTGAGTGCACTAAGAGTGCATGATTGTTGCCATTATGTACCTAGATGGATACAAAAACCCTTCTTAGTTCAAAGAAGTATTATAAAGTATGTGAAACCAGTGGGGTTTTCACAGCTTTTCAGCATATATTACTAAAAATGAAAAGATGAACTTCTTAATAGTGTCAGAGAGAACACTAAAACAGCAGTATGGACCTGAAAAGTTTGATTCTGGTTTCCTCACGCTGTATAACCAACTCAAATGTTTCAAGCTGTTTTAACTTGTTGCTAAATGTTTATCTACACATGCTGTCAGAAATAACCTTGTTAGGAAGGTGAAGTTGGTGTCTCAGCAAATCAGACCCATGGAGTAGGCGTTGAGTGGCCTGTGACTCGCTTTCCTTTTTCTCTTTCAGCACCATCAAAAGGAAAAGTGAGAAAAACAGCACAAACATTAGTTAAATCCTGAATTTAATCCCATGTCCTACAGGAATAATTTCATTACAATGAAAGCAGACAGACATTATCTGTAGGGTTTTTTGCTTTGTTTTTGTTTAAGCAGTGATAATTATATATCTAATTAACATAGCCTATAGCTCTCCCAAAGATCATAACGTTTAATAATCCCTTTAATTAAATGATTAATAGGAAATGCAGGGGTGGTTCTTAAGAATTACCTGATTTACCATCACTGAAGACAGATTCTTTTAAAAATGGCTACAAATGCCTTGTTCACAAAAGACTTTATTATCTAATGATGCATACTGAAAACATACAGAAATCTGCATGGTCCACTTTACATGCAGCAGAACAATCTTCACTTTACAATAAGTAAGTGTCAACTGTTTTATGCAAGAGACAACACTTTAAAGTCACATTTCTTAAAGAAAAGCTTCATTTACAAAAGAAATAAAAGGTAAAGAAGCAATTACCGCTTTTAAAAAGCAGCTGCTTTGTTCAAGAGTGGAAGGTTTATGCCTGTATTGAAAGACAACATGATCACAAATAATGAAAACAATGAACAAATGAAACACTTTTAGCATAAAGCAGTACACTTTCAAAATGACATACAAATAGTTAAAAATTTCATTATGTTGTCTATCTATCCTTTAGATATAAGGTCTTTCGAATGAGATCCCAACATATGTAATTACTAAATGAAAACTCTTCTGTAAGTATTGGTTCTATGTCATAGTGAATTGTATTTAACAAAATGTATACAAAGTCTATAGCAAGTTGATTAAAAAAATTAAAGTAATAAGAAACAGTACACTGAAGGCGCTCTATCCATCAAGTGCGCACTCTCAAAGTTTTAAATGTGATGAACAGAACAGAAGCTGTAACTATGCCACGGTTGCAATGCCAGAAAATAAAACAAGATCATTTATCAAACATGCAGGGAATTCTGCCACAATGCTATTGTCTCTCATTTGTCAGTTGTTCCAGTAAAATAACAGCTTAAACACCGGTGATGTTGATGGGTTAGCTTACCTTCAGTGTACTGAAAGTTGTACACAACCTGCTTTAAAAGAGGAGACCATCCCTGCGGGCAGGCTCAAGAAGGAACAGACCCCCTTCGGCACTGACTACACCAAGGGCATGCTGCTGTGGCCTGCACACACACACCTAGGAAAATGTGAATATAAACAGCATTTATGCTGGCCATTTTTTAAAGACAAAAATGAAGCCAAGTCTGCTAAAAACAAATCAACCACCCAGTATTACTGCTCTTTTTTTTTTCTTTCTTTTTTTTTTTTATAACAGATGCTTTTTTCTTTTTATAATATATACGAACTGCAACCATATACATTAGCATTGTACTTCTGTGCAGTCTTGGCAATTAAAACAGTTCTACAGTGAAAATTTTCACATAAGACACAAAACAGAATTACTCTAACATTTCTAAAAGAAATATCAGCCTTGATGTTAATTCAAATGTATCATTTCTTCCTCAACTTTGCAGGGGAAATATTTATGTTTATATACATTAATAACTGCTGTGAAATTTCTTCAGTCTTTGTATCTTAATTACTCAAACCCTTTGAACTTCTTCATCTGGTTTAAATTTTTTCCTGGATGAAGGCGTGCTGCAGAGCCTGGTTGATGCTAATCCGTTTAGCTGGGTCTAACATTAGAATCTGGTCCAACAAGTCCTTTAGCTGGTGTACTTTTTTACGCTGGTCTTCAGGGAGTCGTTGGCACCCAATCAAGTCTGCTAACAGGTCCTTGGTTGGATTAATGGTGCTCATAACAGTGACTTTCTCCTACAAATACAAAAATGGCAACCTTGTAGAACGGAAGTAATGCACAAAACCCCTATCCCTTTTACAGAGCTTCAGCAGCAACTTCTCTCGTATCTGGTCAGCAATGCCCTTCGTCATCATATGGCCTCATAAATCCTCAAGCGCGCAGAGGAAGAGTGGAAATAACGCTGCCAGGGGTAGGCCAGGATGCATCTTTCGCCTTTCGCACCAGCAGGTGCATACATGAACCTAACATCCCAGTTAACTGAGAACATCAAAATTCCACGTGGAGAGTTCCCATATCTGGCCACTAATTCTGTGATTCTTGATAAATACACTAAGTTAAAATGATACCGAAACATAAGCACATCAACACTCCTAAACATAAGCACATCATACTGAAGTTGGACATCCTTCTCTAAAACGAAGGCAGAATTTCTTTTATTAGTAATTTAGGGATAGATTATGTGGAGATACCCTGTATACCTGCCAAAATTAAACTTCTTATTTCTCTTAAACGTGTTCCTAAATCATAGGAAAAAATCTGTTATAACTATGTAACCTGTTCATACTGCTGCAAAAGGACATTCTAATAGTTTACAAAATTTTATTTTTCATTAAGATGTCAAGATACATTTGAAAGATCATAATAATAGGAAAGCTTGGAAAAAAGTAATAGGTTAGTCGACACATTAAGGACTTACCCTTTCTGTCACTTTATCTACTTCTATATACATAAAGTTGAGATTTTGATCAAAGTGCTGATCTTTGAACACACCTTTTCGAATCATCTGGAAAACGAGGGAGAGGCAAGAGTTTCAGGCAAGTTCTCTGTGTCTCACAAATTCCACAATTAGCATCAATGTCTACTAACTTATTGCAACGTGAGTAATTTAATAGTAATGAAAAATATATCAAAAGGACAGTAAGAAATGTCTAGATTGAATAAAAAAATACAGTTCAAACCAGTTGAAAAAAGGACACAGTATCTTCCATGGACTTACGTATTTTTTTTCAGCTCAGTGCTTAGAAGGTTTCTGCTTTCACTTTATACTTAGTCTATGAAAAAGAAGCTGTATGCTTTCACTTCATAAGATTTTAAATCAATATAAATTATACAGTCAGAGCGATGTCTGATATTTACTTGCTGTTAAGAGAAGATGTATATGTTAAGAAACAGAATTCAGGGAGAAAAAAGAAAGTATGTTCTACTGTTCATTACAGCAGTTTCAGATATTAATTAAAAATCATATACTTTTTTTTCGTACCTTGTTTGGCATCTTTCCTTTGAGATCCATGGCTAGTTTCAACATATGGTTATTGGTTTTGCCAGGAAAGAGTATTTTTCCTGTATAAAGTTCATATAATGTGCAGCCTACAGACCACATATCTATACCATAGTCATAGATTTTTCCTATAACTGAAACAGAGCGACTCCAGTTAATTCCATAAAGGCAGCCTTAAACAACGTAATATCACAAGACCAGACAGATGAAAAAATTCTGATTTGTAAACTACATCGGTGCTCCTCCTCTTAGGAATACGAAGTCACCGTAAGGACAAAGAAGGATGCAAGCCTTTTAACTTTTACAGTATCCCTATTTTAGAAAGGGAGGCTTTTACCTAACACCCAAACCAATCAGCATGAATTAAGTTAGTAAAAAACAAGAAGTCAGAACAATACCTCTAAATTAAAACATAACTATAACCAATCAGAATGACTTCTCCCTGTCCTTACTGAGCTGACACCAACATACATGAAGAGCCACACAAGCATGCTTTCAAAGTCTGAATTTTTGACTGCCATCATATTTCCAGAGTGATGTTTTGCTAAGACCAAACAGAGAGTAAATTCAAGTCAAATTCTCATTTGCTAGTACCGGTATATTCTGCTACTGCTTAAGACACATGTAGCCAATCCAAATGTACTTACTGATTTCTGGAGCTCGATAAAATCTACTAACTAGATACGGTGTGATGTCATTATCTGCAACATGTGAAGCTGATCCAAAATCGCAAAGCTTTAATATTGTTTTAGACTCATTCACCTGAAAGTTAAACATAAATAGCCATTAGCACTATCTGTAGACAGAATTACCAATAGCACTGTGAAAGTAACAATACATTTAAGTCAGAGATAAGAAAAACATTCAGCCTTTAAATTAGAAGTTCTTCCCATATTTCAATCCTTCCTCTCTGTATTCTAAGGAAACTATAAAACCTTCTTGAATTTAAAGTGACAGTTAATGTCTTCAGATCCTACAAAATACAAAAAAGGTCAGTTTCATGTACTTTTCCCTTACCAAAATATCCTTCGTGGACCTGGATTTCATTCCAGATACTGAAATTGTATCAGTTTAGACTTCCAACTCTAGTATTCAGAGTACCACTCATAAACCAGCATATTATTCACGTATCTCATGCTTTCATAGTAAATTTTACTGCTGTGGCAAGATGGCAAGAAGATGGCAAGAAGAGAACATTTTAAATAAAATAAAAATCTGAGTTTGTCACAGGGACGACCACCAAGAAAACCAAAGGGAACATGCTTGATTCCTCTGATGTAGCTCTCCCTCTCTGCTAACCAGAATGTTTAATGGAAACAGAACAACAACAAAAAAAGGCATTAAGGACTTTTCACCATTATCTCATTCACATAAACAAAATCTCCATCCAGACTCAAACAACCTACTTCTATTTTGCAGAAAGCAAGAACATTTTTCAACTACTGATGGAAAAACTCCCAAGATTTCTCCTTAGAAAGGATACCGTCTTTCTTTGGAAGATCTGCTTTCTAAAACGATACAAGTGGATGCAGGTTTGTCTGAGCAAGATTGTACTAAATAAAAGATTTTATTTAGATGCTGTATTGTATTTCATACTTACTATTTATACCACAGTAGCATTTTATATCAAAACATGAACGCTTAACATTTTCAGTTAAAGTAAATTTTGACTTCACCTAAATTAACAGAATGATATTCATTTCAAATATTAATTTTACACTATAAACTGTGCAAAATAAGTTTCAATTATTTATTACTTACCAAAATATTATCTGGTTTAATATCTGCATGTAGGATATTGCATCTTTTAAGAAGTTTTAAAGCCAGGAACAACTGCTGGCTGTAGGAACGCACAGCTTTAATATGGAGTCCAACATCTTTCCCATACTTTTTCAACACCTCTCGTAAATTCATACTATTTCGAGAAAGAAAGGGAGAGAGAAAGAATAGAAAAGAGCTTAACAAAGAAAAATATAGTGGCCTCCTAAACTGTAAGACAAGCTTGAAGAAATCAGTCAGCTTTAAACATTTTTGGAGAAAAGCAGCATTCAACTTAACATACATACCACTCTCTTAGCTACAGCAATGAAAAAAATGCTGGTCAATCAGATCTATCCTATACTGTGTAATTACTTACTAGACTGGACTTACTTAGTTCAGAACACATTTTTAATCAAGATTAACACGGAAGGATTTATTTGCACATGAACAGCATTTCACTGTTCACATTCAACAGCCTTTGTACTCATTTTCTGAAGAAATAAATAAAAAAGGAAGTATGCAAAAGATACAAGTTGGGGAGGTGATTTTTTGATGACTTAAACAGCAGATAAAAAAATACCACAATTCCAGGACAAAAGCATCATTGCATATAAATAATGTACAAGTGTGTTATAAAAAGATAGTGCAGCACAAGAAAATAATTTGTTGTATGGCTTATAAATGAAAATATAATAGTAATTTCATAAAATGTGCATTGCTTCAGCATATACCTTCAGCTCAAATATGGCAAAAATTAAAATATGACATACACAGAAAACTTAGGATACACACAACTGATGTCTCTAAGCAGGAAAAAAAAAAGGCAATTAATATATCCAGATCTATCATAAAATAGTGTCTACAACTAACCTGTCAAAAGAGCCTAATTATTTAAAGAAAAAGCGAGCATGCAAAGAAAGCACCGTAACAATTTGCTTCCTTAGACTGTTGTTATGTATGTACTCTTCATAGAATATACAGCATTTGCTGAACCCCTCTGGGAACGCATTCTTAATCCAAAGCCTTAAAATAAAGAATTACGAAAACTGATAAAAATATTGTGACACACACACAAAATAAATCATTAAGAGCAGCACTGGTGAGATGAAACATCTTTAATAACACATTATTTTGTTTCAAATATTGTCCAGGCAAAAAGTTCACAATGATGCTTTAAGTAAATCAGAAATAGTTCAGCAGTCTGTGGATGTGTGCCTCCAGATTTTTTTTTTTTTTTTTTTTTTTTTTTTAAAGTTCCTTGCATTCTTGAATCTTGGCTATAGAACAAAGTATCAAAACAATAGCCAAAACCAGAAAGGTAAAGATCACTCAATAGTACTTTACTTTTTACAGAGAATCCCTAACATTTATCATCTTACCTGAGTGGCTCGAATACCAGACAGAGATGTTGTTTGTGGTAGAAATGCCTGAACAACCGTAGACAATGAAACTTGTCATCAGGATCTGCATCATTGAGCTTCTTCAAAAATTCCAGTTCTTTCAGGCCAGTTTTTTGCCTGAAAACAAAGAAATATGCTTAGAAAACAAAATCAGTGAAATGCTAATACTTTTTTTAAAATCTAGACATTCACTTACGCGGTTATAATTATCAGGAAATGAGAAGTGTCTTGTCATTACTTAATGTGCCACAGCTTAAAAAAAATCACAACAGTGGTTTGCTGTCAGTGTCTACACATTGGGTAAGTTTATTTAATTCTTTGATCTTCACTGTGCCTTTGTAACCTACTTATTCTTTCCTCCTCCCTCCTGGTTGCATGTAAAGCTAAAATCAGATTCCTCCTGTAATATGACACTTCAGTTTCAAACAACACTCACTTGAGAAGTTTACTTTTTTAAAATAAGTACTTAACCACATACATTATTAAAAAGTTTTAAGCTAAACTGACTAGAGTCAAGTACACACCCAAACTGATTATCTATATGATATAGCAAACTGAAACAGCTTTTTTGTTAAACTTTTTTTTTTTAAAACTTTTCTAGATACCTATTCATATAACTCAAAATAACCCAGTTATACACACAGCAAGACAACTTTTAAAACTTCCAAGGTAAAAAGATTTTCATTTAAGTTGTCTTTAATGGAAGAGGACATAACACATGACTGTAGAAATACTGCAGCAGATACTGAAAATGAATATTATAGACAAGTCCTCACATATGGTAGTTTAATAGATCATACTTGTTAATGTTCACTCATTCTGAAAGACCTCAAAATTTTTTTTATTTCAACAGGGAGAGTCCCCTCCCTTTTTATATCTCTTATATACATGCAAACACATAGAGAACATACAAAAATAATTAAAGTATGGAGATCTTTTTATAAGTTGCAGATGACCTATTAGCATCCAACCCATAGCCTGCCAAAATGATTTGGTCCATCAAAACAGAATTTTTACAGTCCACGACTCCCATCTCAAAAATTTTTAGGGCTGGGCAGGCCTCATAATCAACTGTAACCTCGTTTCTTGCTACCACTGTTCCCTGCAGTTTTGCAAGTGAGAAAGTGCCTGATGAAAATGCAAGTACCCTTCTCCTGTGATAGCTGTAAAGAAGTGTGGATACATAGTCCTCAAGCGCTTCCCATTATCTGGTTCATATTAGCAGAAAAGGCAGGAACCACAGCTGTAATCTGTTACTTCACTTGAAACAAAGGGAGATTCAAATCACATCATGAAAAACTTCCAACTGTTACATATGCTTGATTATTATTAAACAAAAGCATTACTTACATAAGTTCATTGTTCCTGATGATTTTAACCGCTACTTCTTGGTTTGCTCTTGCCATGTCCCTGGCTCGCACTACGTTACTGAAGACTCCCTGACCAGTGTAACCATAGACATTGTAACGTTTATCTAGAACTTCACCTATATTAACACCTGAAGGATAAAATCAAGCAATTTAAAGAGTTATGAGTGACATGCATAATGAAACTTTTTATGAAAAATAAACCATTCTGTATAATTCAGAAAAACAGGATAAATGGTACAATCACTTAATTTCATAGCGTACAATGTTTTATATCACCTAGCTTTGTGGAAATATGGGGAACAAACTGTGATTCTGTAAGTCTGGAGTCTTTTCATAACTGAGGTTAAAACCTGCATGCTCATTCCGTCTTTTACATGACACACGCGGTGAGGGCACTGTGGTACATTTACACTGGAGTAACGTTTCAGGACTTTTTACATGAGGACATGGAAAACCATTCAGCACCCTCATTCTAGCTGTCCTTGCAAACGAACAAATACAACTTACGGTAATAGCCTTCTGCATCAGTCCAGTTATCCCTGAGATTGGGGTTTTCTTTGAAGTCTTTTCCAAACCCAGCAGCCCTTAGACGAGCACTCTGAAATAAAAAGAAAAGTAACAGCTTTGCTTGTGCGCTCTATGTTTTTCCTTGATGTTTACGTACCAAAAGCCCTTTTTTCCTACTGAAACACTGTTCCTCTCCACAGTACAAACACGCTTATCTTGTAGGAGAGAGAAACTAGTGAACACAAAATGCTATTTACATACCAGTATCTAAAGACTGATGCAAGAAAAGAGGATGGGAACAACCAATAGAACTATTATTAAACATAAATAGGCAAAGTTTCAATTAATACCCACAAGAAATTTCTACAAGTCACTGTTACAATGCAGACTTTGGACCATCTGAATAAGACTTTTTACTTACAGTTTGTTTGTAGTAATAAAGTTTAGCAATTTGGAGGGAAAATGTAACTGTTTAAGCCTTGAATTTCTGTTCATTCAATGCCACTTCACAGATTTCATACCATTATACTTACATTTACTTATATCATAAAATTACTACAGTTGCTGTTGACATCTCTTAACAGATTTGGCAATTATTATCACAAATTCAAATCTATGAGTAGTAAAGAGTATCTTCAATTGAACAACAGTTTCTGCAAGGGGGAACTGCTCACTTACAAGACATTTAAATCCCTACTGGTAACTTTCAAATTTTTAAAAGCATCCCCCCACCACTATCCTTCAAGTATTTATCTTCTTCCAGGTCAAAGAGGTTTTGATTTTTCTTTTATTATTATTGCCTGTGTTACTAGAGTGACACCATGCCAGCCTTTTGTCACCAATGCTTCTGTCATAACTAATAGGTTATGTCTACCATAAACCAAAATTAACTGGAAAATTTCTAAGTTAAGAAGAAAGTTGTTGTCTTGACTTATTTCTCAGTGTTGCGCACCAGCAAGAATGAAGTAGATTTATAGAAAACAGCAAGTAAAGTCTCAAAACTAGTCACCAGACTGCCAAGATTTGCAGGCCACTTTAGAGAAAAGCTGCTGGCATAGTGCAAAGTAAAAACAGGAAATGCATCTCTTTATCCAAAAAAAAAAAAAAACAACAAACCAAACCCCACCAAACAAACCACCACATTACTCGAACACAGCATCATTAACAAATTAAAATATCTTACACAGACGCTTTTTAATTAACTATACATGAACCTGTGAAAAAAAGCACGTATTTAGAAGAGTGCAGCATAGTAACATTAACATAAAGCGTAACGTATTTTAAGTTTGTTACTACGTGCCACTATAGGTCCTATTTAAACAACAGGTGAATTCCCTAATTGCTTACTCTGGTAAAACTCCCACTAATTTCAGCAGGTTTTCTTTCACTGAAATATTAATTAAGAACTACTTTGTCTGCCTTGGCTGATCAAAAGATTCAGAACATAGTATCCACTCAGATACACATGCTTTTACAAATCAAAGTTCCCACAAACCTCAAGTGACAGTAACTCTCTACAAAAATCAAGCAAAAAAAAAATCATACATTTCATCTCCAAGAATTACCTACATCAAAGTATGCAGCGAACATATCATCTGATTCTGTGAACATATCAGGAGCTAGCAGTTTCTTCTGAGCTGAACCTTAAAATGAAATTTAGATTACTCAACATGAAAAACACGACAAGCTAATAACTCTGTTACCAGAAAATTCGTGACTTGGTATCTTTACAATATAATCTAAGATCAGTATGTTGGCAAACAGGTAGCTCTACTAGTGTTTCTAGCAAATACCATTTTACATTCTAGAAATACAAAACTCAGATTGGGTAAGTTCTTCAAAGCACTCAAAAATTTACACTTCCTTGAAAAATTAAGTATAATAGCTTTCAAATAATTCACACAGCAGAAAGCAAAAAGTACATACTTACATGATCCCTACAGATAATGACTATATATATATATAAAAGTATAAAAAGAAATATAAAATGACTGTGTGCATATATTAAAAAAATTCAGACATGTTTTCAATATATGAGTTCAGGCTTTTCTGCTAATCACAAGGTATTTTACTAAAAACCAAAGCTGTAAAGCCTAGAAGTTGTTTCTTTGGAGAATGTTTTCTTCAACCCTGTCAAAAAGGACCTCGTGTAGCTTTCAGTCAAAGACAATGTTAACTATTATGTTTAAGAGAAGCATTTTTAATGTGGGTAAGATTATCCCTTTCTCACCTTTTAATCATCTTTAAAGTCCCAAAGACATTTTACTTGGTTGATAAGATAAAAGCAAAGAAATATAAATTAAGTACACATTAGTGAAAGCAAGTAAACTTCAAACTATTTCATAACACACATCGTGGTAGCATCCCTTCACGACCACAGTAAATCACAGACACTCCCTTTAGGGTATTAAGCGATGGAGAAAAACAAACGGTTAACCTCAGATGCTTCAGGTCTCACGATGCACAAAGCCAACCACTTTCATTCAAAATAACTAGACTGAAATCTGACAGCATCAAAAACTCTCATCCATCATGCCGACATTGCTTCAAGGTATAGACCTGTCACCTGACACTATGGGGAGACAGGTTACACCGTTGTTTCAAGATATAGACCCTTCCAGCAACTTCCTCAAATTTTCTTTTTAGTTCCTATTACTCACACTTGCACTGGGCTACAATGAGTTATTAACAAGTTCCTTAGCAACTTACGATCCTGCCTCTATATGAGGTCAGGATTCAAATAAAAAAATGGCTCTTTAAAAAAAGATTTTCCACTGCTTCCATCTGTAGTTATAGCCACTTCTAACCCAGAATCCTACCAATATATGAAAATTCTCAGATTTGAGAGTAACTGATCTGTTTTTAAAAGCAAACCTTTTTCGTATGTTAAAAATGTCTATGTAGTTATTCATATACTTTAGTGGACAAAATTAGAAAGCAGTACATGCCTCTGACAAAAAAGGAAAAAGATGTTGTCTGTTACACACAAGAAAACTAAGTCTAAACTTGTGGTATGCAAATAAAGGAAAAGTGCATAAGATAGTTCTTTCCACATACATTGCAGGAGAACAATCTGAAAACATACTGCTCAAGGGAACACCAGGAAAACTACAGATCAGTACACCAATCCCAAAGAGAGGCAGCTTTATTGCCTCAAAGAGAAGCATCCACTAGAACATAGCATATTCAGCCCCCAAGGATACATCTAGCGCATGACATGAAATATAAGCTAACTGTCCAACCATTTCCTGAGGGGTTGGGCAGGTTTCACAGCCCTTGTTAAACAGTGTGCTGTTGCAATTAAACTGCAAAGAGAAACTGAAGTAGTTAAGACTATCTCAAGTATGTCCACACAGCAACTAGTCACACCTTTTGACTACCTGGAAGATGTACAGTAATCCACTTTCAAAACACACACACACACAAAAAAGGCAGATTTTCAATATTATGGGGTGCACTGGGAGATGCTCTATGTTCCTTTTGCCACAGCAGGCACAAGGCAGGTTTTATATCAAGATGTGTTTCACCTCAGTATTGCAATATTGTTGCACAACAGATTACGTGCAGGGAGGAAGAGGAGGAAATAGCCATTTCTTCAGCAAGAAGTTATGCCACCAAAATGGACTTACTAGCAATGACTCTCAAAAGCCTTAGTCATTCTAAATTACTACAGACCCACCTATGCGCTTCTATCGCAGTGGCTTTGACCAAAAAAAAAAGGGACAAAAGGGCCATGGTTTCCAACCCACCCCAAAATAAAGACTAGGACTATATTAAGCTTCTAAAAAACCAACATGCACAAGTGAAAAGAAAAATCTGGAAGTTAAAAAGGGTGATTCTTAACTATAAAGACAGACATTGTTATTTGCTCTTCCAAATTCATAGCATGAATTGTGCTAAGAGTTTTTAGAAATATAGACAGAATGTTCCATTCATATCATCCTCTTCAAGGAGCAAGCTTTATTTTAATGTTGTAAGTACCATAGTATTTGTGGAAACATTCTCAAATTCTGTCCAAAAACTCAATCTACTTCCAAGTCTGGGAAGTATATAAGGAAACTAACCAAAATGTCTCTTCTGATGTGCTCTGCTTAAGAGTTGAGCTTTCATAAATTGCACTATACAGTGAGATTTCAGATTCTTACCATTGTTCTGTTCAACTGTCATGAGGTTGTGCTTGGCTTTTACTGATGCCTCAAATGTGTCCACATTTTCACGTTCGTATTCCTTAACATCAGCAGCCACTCTTTCTAGGATGTCGTCTGGTGAATTTGAGCGACTACGCGTGCTACTTTGAGGACTGCTTGGTTCAGACGGTACAGATATATTACTGTCTTCTGTCTGGCCTTTGTATTTCTAAAAAGAAATTTAATTATTAATCTCACCATCACAGCTTATCACAATTTAAATATTTTTATACTCACTCTTTCAATGGTTTGTGCTAAACCTTTATCTTTGCTTTCATAATCACCTAAATCTCTAATGGCAACAGACTGTTTGCCGAATGGGATACAGCTTTTGAAAACTCATTTTGCTACAATGCACCACAGCCCAGACCATAAAAGATGACTGAGAAATTCATGTGTGTCCTTTAGGCTTTTACATTTCTGTAAAAAACAATTTCTATTGAAGATTAACTATTTTGTTGCCCATGACACAAGTACTGAAATAAAGTGTTTCAGGAAAGATTAATGATCTTATGTCTTACATCCTAGAATCTTTTCCATTTTTATTAGTGTTATGGTACAGAAAAGTAGTTTTTAGATTCAGGTTTTTTATCTGAATTGGAAATCTTGTTTATTCATTCATTCTTGTTGAAAAATTTCAGATGCATTAAAAAAGTTCAAGACAACACCTTTACAATTTTTTTTTTTTAACTCAAGTAGTATGAAATTATAAAAACGTCACTTCCTCTCCCAAAAGTTAAAAATCAAAATGAATAAACGCTGATACCACTCAGTTATCAAGGTCAAACTATTCAATAATACAAACAGAAGTTTCCCATTTAGGGAATGAAGTCTGGAATTTGCTTCCTGCATGGACCAACAATAGGTGTAACTGGCCTTTAAAAATACTTTACTTTATAAGGTTTTGTTCACGCATAGTTCTGAAGGATTTTACACTAGGCTTTGCATAAAAGACAAACGATGAACAGTATTTTTAGTGCTGCTTAAAATAAGCAGCACATTGTAACCGGTGTTTTTATAACTTAATATTAAGTAAATATGCTGCTGCATTTTGCTTATTATGTTCTAACTATGTGCCAAATCCCAACTTTAAAAAAAGATACCTGACTTGTGCTGTAGAATTACATTCCTTTTGGCCACAGCTCCCTTGCAGGGGTCTCAGTCACATACAATCTGTCACTACTGTTACCTTTTCACCACAAGTAAGAAGTTCATAGGAACTCACACGTATAACTGAATACATTATCTACTTTCATGAAGAGGGACCGCATGTCAGTGGCTTTATGAAGTTTTGGAAATGGGCAAGGACAACTTCTACTTGAAACAAACCGACCAGTTAGGTTAATTGATATGTAATTTAATGCTATATTGACATTATGGTATCAGTGATACAGCTATGAAGAAAACCTACAGATTAAGATAACTGAAGAACATTTTTAACATGTCATAGGACTGTCAGAGAACATTTAACCGCAGCACAAAAATGACTCACAGAAGAGTTGCTTCAGTCTTAAAACCAATGCCATTGCAATAGAAGTGTGAAGTTTAACTGAGACTAACATTTGCAATAAATTGGAAAAAATACAGAAATAGTAATTACTATCATAATGCAATAATAGCCTAAGAGCCTTCCTTTATCACAACATTTTACAATAAAAGCATAAAATTAGTTTCTGTAAATAATGATAATATAACCGTGTACCTGAACAATTGCTTGCCGCTGTAATCTTCTTTGTCTTATCTCTGCTTCCTCATCCTCTTCTTCCAAATCAAAGTCTTCAAGACTACGAAAATATTATTACTTTTTATATAACATCATAAACATAAGACTATCTACTGTATTTTACCAAATGCAGTTCTTTGGCGTAGAAAGCACACGATATATTAAACAATAGCTGTTCAACTGACTCAGAAAGCAAAGGTGTATTAAATCCCAGTGTGTGTATTTACATCCCCTTACAGAGAAAATTTATCTTTTGGTATCTCATTGGGATTTTGAGTATTTCATTTTTAACTGCAAACAATTAACAGTAACTGCTTTTAAAGAGAAAAAACAAAAAAAGCCTTGTTCATTTTCATTCCAGCATCATTCTTCCTTGATAATGTGATTAAGAATGCATACTCTTGTGCAATTGGATTAAGTAGATATTTAGCAAATATAAAAACAATTTGCAGATAGCAATTAATCCTTTCAGCTGTTACAGTTTTTCCTCAAGCAACAAGCTTGAGGAAACAGACCAAATATTTTCACAAGATACTGATCAAGTTGAATTTAGAAACCGAGCAACATATCATCCCCTCAGGTCTGCCCACTAGCCAACAGGTCTTGATATTTCTTGCATACTCCAAAGTTTTCCAGATCATCCCAACAGTAATTTGACAAGATCACAAGCACTAAAACATGATTAAGGTTTTAGGTGACAACCCAAAAACTACACTACGAAGATAAATGTCAGTTCATTCTCCATATCAGTTGATCTGTATTTTTAGATAATCAGCGCAAGTTAGAAATTAATTCTTACTTTTCATCTGATGAAGACTCCTGTTCAGCTTTCATACCCTCAGAAAGACTACCTTTAAATTTGTCTTCTTTAACTTTGCTTCTGCTCCTACGTCTATGGCCACCACGTGACCTGGACCTCCTTCGAAGGCGAGATCTACTTCTTCGGCCTCTATCCCTGGTAACAATAAGAAGGGTTTGGGTTTTTGGGGTTTTGGTTTGGGTTGGGTTTTTTTGAAGAAAAGGAGAAAAATCTATTCATAAAACATAAAGGTACATAATGACTCCAAGTAATAAAACAAATGAATTCATTGAGGACAAAATTAATTCAACTATGCTAGCGTATATAAATGTGGACAAAAAATGCATCGTCTTTTTATACATAAGATAGCAATCTTTATTCTTTTAGTAATATTTTACAAAATATATTAAGAAATGCAATGTGTCTTTACCTCCTTCGAGGAGACCTACTCCGCCTTCTTGGAGATCGGCTACGTCGAAGGGGTGAACGAGACCTCCTTCTAATGGGAGACCGAGACCTTCTTCTGGATGGGGACCATCTACTGGGTGGGCTAACGTCTTTTGATCTTTCACGTCTAGACAAAATATCATCTCTGGTCCGCGTTCTTAAAATAGAGGAAGAGAACAGTAGCAAAATCAGGAGTACGCTGAAAACAGAAATCACAATTCCCTCTAAAAGCTCACTTTAAAATCTTACTGCAGGTGAGGGACCACCAGGTGGGCTCCTGAGGGAGGGATGGATAAGTATGCTGCAGAGCTGGCTGCCCTTCCTGTGTGTGTCCTACCCACCCTGGGAAATACGTGCCCATACATAGGTCTAGTTCAGGACAACTCTGGAAACAGAGCTTGTTAATTACTAACACAAAGCTAAGAGAGGTTTTAAAACTAAGCTTGTGTTTAGGTCTTACATAAATAGTGCCCTGTTTTCATGTTTATCAAAACAGTATTTAAACAATAAATAAAACCCAAAACCTAATTCTTGAGAATTTTCTCAGCAACACAGTATTGAAATTTAGGACCACGCTACTCCACAGCAATGACCTTAATGTCTATTTCAATTTAGGCACTAGAACTGGATGGCTTCAACATTTCACACATTCTAACACAGCAGCTGAAAAGTAAAATTCGTAATTAAAATGTAAACTAACCCTTCTCAAATTAAAAAAATAATTCAAGTTTGACACTATATACTATTCAAAATTTGTTCATTCTTGTCTATACAGATTCACAGTTATTCAAGGAAAAAAATCCTTGATGGGACAACTACATTAAAAATTTTAATTGTATTCCACAACAGGAAGACTTCAATCAAAAATTGGAAAGGACAGAAGTTAAAAATATTTAACAACTATTCTAATGAGGCTGCGACAGAAATTCTTGGAAAATATTTCCACACCACTGTTCAGAGAAAATGTTGCTACTCTATTTCTTCTTTTTCCCTCCCTCCTGTGTTTTTTTTTGGGGTTGTTTTTTTTTTTTTGGGGGGGGGGGGGGTGTTTGTTGTTTTTTTTTTTTTAAAATCAAATTGGGACAAGTTATTTCAGGTGTTCTCTCTCATCAATGAACAGAATCTCTTGGGTCTGAAAGATTAATTCCACCCATTCTGTAATGTTTTTTTGTTTGTTTTGAGACTGTTGTATCAGCTTCGGTTACCTTAGCTACATATAATGACCAGGCATATAGAACTGATGCAAAATAGTAAACAGTGGGACAGAAGGAAAATTTATGCACATGCAGAAGTACTGGCAGTTTCTACAAGAAATTTCTGTAGACTCAAATGCTGGAGCAGGCTGATCACTTTAACCCATTTAGTTTACGTTGTGTTCTTGTAAACAATATTACAAAAAAAGTCACAGGATGAACGGACAGTTCCAGGTTTCCTGGCTAGTCCCAGGCTTCCTGGCTAACAAAGTGGTTGTACTGCCAAAACCCAATCAAAATATCTGTAAAAAAATAAATCAGTTCAGGGATCACAGGTATGAGATAAAAAGCAGAAGCTGATTAAGAATTCATAGTAACATCATACAATGACTAACTTCAGTCAAAGACCTGAGAAGTATCTTACATGATTTGAACACTGGAAACAAACATGAAAAACAAAATTACTGGGAATTGACTAAAACTGTTCATTAAAGCTCCTGAAATTCTCTGGCAGCCTGAGTTATTACAGGTAGTTAAAACTCCAACATAGCTGGAGTTAGTTCAGGATGTCCCACAATGAAAGATTATTTCTGCTGATTTGCAAACACTTCCAGCAGAAAATATTTCCTAGTAGTCCCCACTCATATGCTGCTCACCATGGTGTTACAGAATTATGAATTTGATAGCAAAATTCTAGACACATGCATCACTTGAAACAGTGTCTAGACAACTAATTCAAACCAGCTGCAATGCAAGCTGTCATGAGAAATGAAAACTGAAAGATGCAAAATGCTATGGAAGAAAAGTCAAATACTATGTCAAAGAAACTTAGTGGTTGTGCCGATACATTCCCGATTCACCAGAGAGCAGCCAGATAAACTGCAAGCGTTCACAATACTTGTTTAATCTGGTTAAGACCACTGGGGCCATCCTCCAAAGTACCTGCAGTATTGCTAAGCAGTAGTACAGACAAATAAGCTGATATTGCGCCTGTAGAAGATACCCCAATACTTGAAACCAGAGTAACCTTCAATGATGGAGGCAGAAAGACTTTCACATTTATTAGGTGCCTATTTACTGAGATAGATCTTTGTGGTTCCAATACACGGTTTTAAATTCATACTTCTTTGTTCTTAATTCTCAAAGTGGGTGAAGCTAAACCCCATGATAAAAGTTTTAAATTATTAATTATCCAAAAGTAATGCTGAACTTTTCTGCCTGTTGAACTTCTTACATTCAATGAATTAACTTCCAAAAATGTGTACACTTATATTGTTCTCTGCTTGGGAACCTACCATTCAGGCCTTATCAGCTTCGGAGAAGGAGATGCTAGTAATTATTGTCTCATGGTTTATACTAAATTTCAAGGTAACTGCTTTCATAGGCTAAATTGTCTTTTTCAAAAATGCCAAGACTAAAAATGCATTAAAAAGATTTCAGTCTTTCTCCTTTAAGTATATGCAAAATATGGTAATGATATACAATAGATCAATAACAAAGCAACACTACCATACCTCTAGCAAATGAAAAATACAAAATATTTTTAAGAAAAAAATGACTTTGAGAAGGACATCTTGATATAAAAGATTTGCTTACATTCACACATGCTGCCTCTATCATTAGGGGGTTTTTTTGAAGGGGAAAAGGGGTTAATTACCCACTTTTAGCCAACACTGATATGTAAGAGTGGAGGGGACTTTCATGCCACAGAAATTCCTGAAAGAAACAGAAGTATTAACTAAGAAACAAAAACAGAAGCCAAATTCTGAATCCAACCGAGTGACAAAGAGGAGAACCTGAGCTACAGAACTTGTTCCCACTAATGGTGTAAGCAGCAAATAACTCAGCACTTGAACAACCAAAGATGAATTTGCATGTCTGACAGCTGGGGGGAGTATTTTTTAAAAACTCAATACATACAAAGTAATATATACAATGCACAACACGATTACCTTTTTTAATAGCTATTTTCAGAAGAAAAGAAAAAAAAAGATAAACACCGAACTAGAAGATAGTTAATCTTGTAATGCATTTTTGCGATGCTTCATGACATCTTTAAGTTACCTGGGAGAAGAAAGACGCCTCCTTTCTGATTCTCGTCTTTTCCTTTCTGCAGATCTACTCCTCACTCTTCTAACCGGAGACCGGGTTCGAGAAGGGGATTTACTCTGTTTAGATCTACGATCATTAAAGAGAGGGGATCTGCTTCTTCTTGATTTTTCACGTTGTTTGGGAGATAAGCTTCTTCCTTTTGGACTACGGCCAGGTCGTCTAGGGGACCTGTTTTCTTTCCCTGAAGAAGCATCTTTAGAAGGAGATTTAATTGGCTTTTTTTCTTTGTCCGTCTCTGATCTCCTAGGTTTTCTATCTTTGGACCGTGATCTTCTATCTTTGGATTTGCTTCTTAGTTCTGCTGGAGATTTAGATTTTCTGCCACGATCTCTGCTTTTGTTTTCATTTACAACGGGAGACTTTCTGCGATCTCTTGATTTACTTTTATCATCAGCCTTATTTCTATCCTCTGGGGGAGATTTAGACTTTCTGTTTTTCTCCTGAGATCGCCTTTTAAGCATTGGAGACCTAGATTTCCTTGTCTGATCTTGAGACTTACTTCTCTTATAAGGGCTTTTGGATTTCCTCCTCTCTTTTGACTTGCTTCTAGTTGTCTTCTCTTTGATTCCATCAACTCCTACCTTGCCTTTCTTTTTGTCAGATCTGTGCCTAGTCCTTTCTTTTGATTCACTCTTACTTCCTTTCTTGGAACTAGTTTTATTGTCCACAGGTTCTAATTTCCCCTTAGTGTTTGACTTAGTTGTAGGTCTCGTTCCATTTCGTACTTTTTCATTAATCTCCCCCTCTTCTTCAGATCCTGACTCATAACCTTGTAATATTAATCCCATCCCAGACTGGACTTTTCCTTCCATTAATTCGTTTTCAAGTTCAGCTTTCAACAATGCTCTTTGTTTCTCCAAGTCTTCCAGAGGAGCTAAAAAATCAATTTTAGTTCTTTTAGCTGGTCCGTCTTCTTTGTCAGAGGTTTCAGGTACCTCTTTCCGTTTATGTTTCTTATGTTTGTGTCTGTGTTTATGTTTTTTGTCCTTATCTTCTTCTGAAGAATGTTTATGTTTCTTGTGTTTACTTCGGTGTTTGTGTTTCTTTTTTTTGTGTCGGCTGTGCTTGTTCTGAGGTTGGTCTGCCTCTGATACTTCCCCATTTTCTTCATTCACACTTTTCTCGGATGCATCAGCATCCTCAACCCTGCAAAAAGTAAAAACTACAGATCAGTATTATCAACTCGCTGCAGTCCTTAATCTTCTGTTAAGTTGACAGTCTTTTTTATGATAGAAATTAACTAGCATTTAATTACCTACCTTTGGGAGAATTAAAAATGTACGACTAATGTAACTAAGTTCTAACAGCAGATACACTTCCTCATGAACAGACAGCTATGACTCCATAAAGAAATACTATGGAAGGAAGATACAGCAAATGTACTAACAAAACAAAACGTGTGGGTGAAATCAATGCTTATGCTTTTAGGTTCAATACCGACAGTATCTGTCAATAGTATACAACAGTGCTGCATATTTATGCATCCTGTCAGTCCATCATCTATCTTACTTGCTGCTCCACTGTGATGCCTAACCCAAGCTACGCCTTTGAAAAGCATTTTCAAATGGCAGAGCAGTTGTGCTCCAAAGATCAAAACTTATTTCAAGGGATGATGCTGACCACCTAATGAAACCATCTTGCAAAATCTCATGCAGAGTCGACTGATTCTCTTAACTGCTATTTCCTTCTTTAAGTATACACACCTGTTAGAAAATCAAGAACTGTTCTTATCATGCATTTGTATTATTTATGCCATACAGGGAACACTACTGAGGAACAAGATAAATTAAGGAAGCATAATTTCAGAAAAGCTTTATGATAACATACAGCAGTCTATGAGCTTCCCAAGAAAAAAGCGGTAATCTTTAGATCTGTAAAATGACATTGGCCACAAGAGCAGAAAATAAGTCTACAGCAGGTTATTAAAATAATGTACAGTTTCTTCTAAAAAAAACCATTTCAATTAGCTAGTCACAGCAACAAGCAATTTAAATACTGTACTTAGTAACGTCAAAAATTATAAAATTCAGTCCTGATGTTATGCATTCACTTATATTATCTTCCTTAGAAGCTGGCTTACCAATAGATTTTTTACAGTGTTTAGCAAGTATCTCCTGATCTCCTTCAGAACATCAATTAAGTTACTGTCTGTGGTAAGACGGATATTTGCCTTTTGAAATCTGTTGCCAAATATTATAGGTGCCAGAGTTCACCTTTCTACAAACTCACCCCATCTAAACTACAGTTTTGGAATTTACTAGCTAACACTTTAATAACTTAAATATAGCTCTTCCTGTATCCCAAGCCTCATTCATTGAAAAGAAATTCCCTAAAGATGATGGTCAGGAGTGGTGGGGGATGCACACAGAAATGTAGAGATATCTTCCAAACTCTACTAGTTTCATACAACAGATGTTTCTGAAGAATATGATCAATGATCCAATAGTATAAATGTATCGGAGGTATTCTAAGCCAGGCCTAAAGGATGGCACTTCACTATAAATTCGATTAGTGTCTTCCTAATTAAGGACAGGATCTTCAAACACTGCACACTTACTGATTCTCTCCTGCTCAAGTTAATGCAAGTTCTAGTACTAGTAAATATTCCAGACTTTTCTGCAACGTACACTAAAATTATTTGCTTAAACAATTAACACTTTAGTGCTCTGAAATGAGAAATTCCTAAGGGAACAGATAGTCTGAGTTAAAAATATGCAATATTCAGAGACTTAAGTCAGAATGCCATATGCTTTTTCTTCTACATCTTTCCCACTACTTCTGCTTACTCAAAGCATAAAGAAGGGTGTTTTCCTAATTGCTTCCTCCTGACACTCTACACCATTTTGACAATAGAATATCAGAAAGTAAGAGGACAAGCTGCCTTAAAATGAGTTTGCTCTATGTCTTTTGTGCCAAATGCAACACAAAAATGAAGGAAAAAGTATTAAATGCAAAACTTTTTCAACTTGGATTTGCAATCCAGAGCAAGTATGTCAGTGACGTAAGTTGGCTAAAGCGCAGAGAAATGTCACAAGCAGAATTTTAAGCAAACAATGCATCTTTCAAGGTTTCTTTTAGTTGGATACAGGATGCTGTATAAGTCCCTGATTAACACAGTAATGGTACTTCAATACATTATAAAAATATTACAGAAAAACAAAAATCACATCCATTCAAGCTGCTCCAGAGAAGTCTTTCTTCTCTTAATAGCAGAAAGCGACACTGAAACGTATACAGAAGTTATTTTGTTATCCTATATATTTCAATCTTATGTAATAACCTCACCTTGCATTCCGTAAAAGCAAGCTGGTAGCAGAGGTGCCAGATGAGATGCAGCACCACAGCAGTACCTCGGGCCACTGCAGACTGCTAATACAACTGCCAGCTTTCTTTGCACCTGTACCTCAACTATAAAATTACTATTAATTTCATACATATGCATTAAATTTTTCAGAGCTTCTTCATGCACATGAGTCTGTTTATTTCAAGTAATTCCATCAAAACATGGATAAACTTTTACTTCATTCAAATGCTTCAGAGGTGTAATAACATGGATGAGAAACCTTTTAAGAAGATTTCAGAAGGTGATGAGGCAGATAGCTATCTACACTTTTAGGTGCTAATGGCTTTAAATATGGAAGAATTGTGACATGTTCTTGTTATAGCCCCACTTTTTCTTACTTTTGCATTCAAGGAGAAGAATGATAGGAAGTTCAAGAAGATTTGCAAAGAGATTTCACCTACCTTTTCCTACATTCAGACTTCCTATCGCCTATTTTTACCTTATTACTCTTAGTTATGCTTCTCTGTACAATACTAAACACTCTTCTTCACGTGCTCATGCGTTTTACATGGTTCATGTGTACATCCACTGCTTTTCCTCACCTGTTTTCTACTCCCGTGATAAACAACAACAAAAAAAAGCCTCAAATCGCTACTGTTTAAGGCAGGAAAAAAAATATAGAAAGCCGTTTATATGGCTAAAATATCTGTATAGTGAAGAGGAGCAATAAAGTAAGCATTAGGTTGTCAACTCCGGGCAAAAGTTCCAGAGACGCAAGTGTTCAGGAGCTCGTGAACGCCGACAAACTTAAATCTCACGATGCTAACCGGGGTGCCAGGACAACGCCCCCCGGGAGCCCCGGTCCGGCGGGGAGGCGGCAGCTCGATCTTCGCTCCCCAACGGGAGCCGGGAGTTGCCAGTCATTTCGAGGGCTGGAAGGAGGGGCTGGCGCCAACAAATCGCTTTCTGCTTCCACCAGCACAGGCACTTTTTATAACGCGAGAGCGCCCGGGACTCGGGGGAGGT